CATGACTGCACAACCCCGCACAACATGTACTCAAGACAAGCCATGCAGTTGGACAGCCCAGCTGTGAGGAATTATCGTATTCAAAACCACGAACGAAAACTGAGTAAACGCAAGGTCGTGGAAGGCGTGAAGATCATTACAATACGCATCATGAAACCATTGCTCCATGTGAAGATCAATAACGAGGCCATAGAACTCCAATCGTACCCATAGAAGCCACAAGTGAAGGACGTGTACGGCCGTGCCTGTCCGGAAAAAGGTCTGAACTCCATGCTCCTTGTCTGACCATAAAATCTGAAAGCCTTCATCCTGTGGGGTAAGCACAAGCGCTAAGCGCCAGCCAACATGTAATCGGACTACGTCTCTCCAGTTGGGCGAACAGGTAGGTCGCGCTGGCGGATGAAAATGCACATGTCTCTGCACGACGGAGTCGCACGCCGCATCCCAGCGGGCCCTGTCCCGTGCATACTCTTCTAGTTCGAGTTCACCTATGTTCAACTGTTGAAGGCCCCACTGATGCAAGTGTCGCCATGGTCCCGGACAAGCTTGCTTGGTGTGCGAGAGGCCGACGACGTCGGCTTTGGTGATGTGAGAGTTATTATACCGCAGCAGATGTCCGAGGTAACCCCATTTCCTCTTAATCCAAATCCCAACCCAAGACCGTTCCGGAAGGAAATTCAGCAGGACCAGTGCGGCACGACGTCGTATGCGGTTGAGAGCTAGTGCAGGTGCTGCCTTCAGGTCGTCAGGTATGTACAGCCCTAGCAGTAGGACGAGAAAGGTCGTCTGTAGGGAGCACACGGCATCCATGTACTTCTGTAACGGCTCCATGATTGGTGTATACCAAAAGAACGTAGACCCTATGTATCTGTTGCAAAGCTGTAAAGTAGCCGTTGCACAACCCCAATGTCCCTGTCGTAGTGCCTGTTTAAGGGTCTCGAAAGCTGCATGTGTGGCCTTCCCGAGGGCCTGAAGCAGGATTGTTGTATCCGGATGTCCCACATCCAAGGCCTGCGCACCAACCTCAAAATGCGTGAGAGTCTTACGCAGGTAGTTGCATTTAGTATCCCAAGACAACGTAGGCAGCAATGATCCCGGGGAGAACTGAAACGAACGGCCTGCGCGAAGAACGTTCTCGTGAGACATGATACAGGTCTTGGAGGGGTTCAATGAGAGGCCCATGCTTCCGAGGATCGGCTGTAGTTGGGCAGTAAGTCTATCAGCCTGGGCCCAGTTCTGAAAGGTCACCAGTAGGTCATCTACGAAAACCAACGAGAAACTGGAATGCATGCATGTCTCTTTCTGTGCCCTCCAAGACCTCTCGAGCTTCTGTATGGCCAAACCCAAAACGTACGCGAAGACGACTGCACTGTGACTGCCTCCCTGTTGCACACCAGACTGTTGTGGGATAGTCCAGTTTTGACCCTGCCAGGTAAAGTGTAGCTGAAGGGACATGATGAGCTTGAACAACTGTAGTGTTTCGCGGCCGAGGCCTGGATCAGATTCCTCCAAAAGAAACTGCAGAACTGCTGTTTGACTAATGTTGTCGAACGCGGCTTGTATGTCGCATGACAAATAAATGCCGTAGGACTGTAGTTTGGATTCCCTGGTGACTCGCGCCTGAGCCGATGCAGACTTGCTTGCCACGGATTCCCCCTAGCTGGGTGGAAGGTACTGTCCAAGTCGACTGCAGCCTGGACACAAGCAAACAAGACAAGAGTTTGTGTATACACTCAATGAGGTTGATGGGTCTGTAATCTTTCGGGGCTGTGACGTTGGTTACCTTGGGCAGCAGGGCCACGAAGGCATCACAGAAGCCCACCGGAAACTCATCCGCATGTAGCAGAGCATTGAGATGAGATACCAGGAGAGCGCGACCAGAAGTGTCGTTCCATAAAGCAACAAGGTATTCATTGCTGACGCCCGATGGTCCAGAAACCTTACCAAACTTCAGGCGAGCAACTCCTTGCTGTATCTCATCTTCTGTAAAGTCAGCGCACGAGCTTTCAGCTGCGCGGGCTTGAAGCTGGGCCAAGGAGGTGCAAAGCTGTTGTTGCTGAGAGTCGTCCAGCTCGGAGCTGAAAAGACGAGTGTAGTGGTCTCTGAGTTGGCGTCCAGCTTCCCGCAAATCACCATGGCAACTAATGAACTCGTGAGGGCTGCCTTTGGCAGGAAGATTCCGCTGCCTGAGGTACTTGATGGCCTCTGCATCTCCCGCCCTACTTCGGGTGTACAGCTGGTTCATCCAATCAGTGCGTTCTACATGTCTCCTGGCAATGATCGCTCTGGTGAGTCGAGCACGCTCCTCAGGATCGGCAGTCATGCGGCGAGTATGACACAGGTCTTTGAGCAGGCTGCTATCGTAGAATTTGAGAGACGTGCGGGGGCAGGAAACCTTCTTCGCAGAAGCTGTCAGAACCTCCCACTGCCCTTGTACGGAAGCTGCGCTGCATGCAGTCTTCAGGGCCGGCGTGGCTTTGGCAACCCGTGCAGGATCAATTGTCCATTTGCGGCATCGCGAGTGCTGCGGCGCAGCTTCTTAGCAGGACGAACCACGGTAGCCCTCTCATCACGAAACGCAACATCTGTTACAACGCAACAGTGATCGCTGCCCAGCTCGATCCTAGTGGTTGGTAGAGCTTGTATACTGACTGAACAATCTTCTGGCAAAACTGATGCTACAAACTTGGAGTTGAAGGCCACGTAGTCCAGCTCTGATCGGAATGCCCTGCCGAAACGTGTGGGCTGATTTGCTCTTCGCACCTTGCCACGTCTAGTGTTGAAGCAAGCATCAAGAAGAATACCTCGTTCAGTGCCAGACTCGCAATTGAAGTCACCTAGAAAAATGATCGGTAATTCTGGATAATCAATCATGATTTGCGCAAGTTCCCTTAGGGAAGACTCGAATTCCTCCATCGTGTTGTCGCGATGTGGTAGATGGCAAGACACTATAAGCATGCGGAGTTGTATGCCAGACAGAACTGCGTCCACAACCAGTACCCTATCACCCCTCCAGGCTGAGTGAATGTGAGAGACATACTCATTCTGAAGCAGGGTCACTTGGCCCAAATGTGAAGAAGTTCCTGTTGTACCAACGACATAATACTCGCGAAGCTCTCCGGAGGCATCCATACGGTACTCGAAAACATCACTCTGAAACTCCCTAAGAACCTTAAGCCCACCCAATTGTCCCACTTCTTGTAGAGCGAAGATATCACTCCACTCACCGGTTTCGGAGTACCAACTGTCAAAAAGCGGAAGAGACTTGCCCTGAATATTCCAAGTAGCAAATCTTCCCATGCCATCGGAGTAATTAAGATACATGCTTGCAGCTGTACGTGGCTCAGGTGCCGCAGATGCGGCTCAGCGGTTCAGGATGTGAGTTTCAATGTCACCCTCACTCTTGGAAGTGGCAGTCGCGAGGTGGGTGTGGTTGAAGTGATACACCGTCTTCTCGTTGTACTCATCGGAGATTGTGTGCGCGAGGATTTTGGCATCAGAGTCGGTTCGGAGATGCCCTGCAGTGGTTGACGCTACCCGGTGTTGGCCTATCCAGATTATCTGGCGGTTTCCAGTCGACGTCTTCTGCCGAAACCTCAGAACCTTTGATTCCCTCAACTATCTCCTTCGCCGCCCTCGTCGCCCTGTTCCTCCGTCGCCGATCCGCCGGCTTGCTGGCGGAGTACCAGGACTTGCCGGTTCCGGTGGGAATGTTGGCACCGTGAAGACGCTGTAGTAGGAAGAACCTCTCTCTTGCACGCTCGTGATCTAGAGCCTTCATGTAGACATGTGCAGTTCTGGCTCTCTGGCCATACACCGCCGTAGACTGCACGTCATCTCTTAGTGCAGCCCCCCAGCGTGAGATGGCTTCGGTGACAGCCGATTCTATGGTTCTCTTGGGTGTGTCCTGCAGCCAACCGCCCATAATGATGTGGTTGTAGTCTGTGACATCGGAGGAACCAGGGGAGACCGTTCCAGGAGGCGAGTCGTGTGCAGAGCGGCTAACACGGTTTGATCGCTGCTGTGGCGACTGCTGTCCGTCACCCGAAGATCGCGAAGACTGATCCTGCTTATACTGCGCCCAGGGATCTGGCGGGGGAACCGAACGAAAGGCACCTGACTGATCTTTGCTTACCGTCTCGACCCTGCCAGCCCAAACTCGAACCGGGTGGCAATTCAGTCAACACATTGTTGCCTGCATCGAGTGCCACGTCCACGTAGCTCACCAACAGGCAGTTTGAAGCCAAGAGCAAAGCAAGGCAGGGTGCGAGCTGAGTCGCCGTAGCTAGGTCCATCTCCAAAAACAGACACTTCCCTGCGGTCAACTCAGCCTCCACCTCGCAGTAAGCGCTAGCAGCGCTTCCAACCCTTCCTGCGTAGACGACCTTTGCTAAAGAGCCAGACCAGTAAACGTCCACGTCCCGCGTGAGCGCAGTTGCCGTGGCCTGGAAGTTCAACCAGATTCTCGTCCACAAAGAAAGAAGGCATACGTCGTGGTCAATGTTCAAGCCAGTGGCTGAAGTCGCCGCCGTCAGCACAGCTGTTTGCTCAGATCTGCCAAGCTGCTGCGGTGGATTTGTATAGGCCCCAACTCCGTTATACTACGCTCAGTAGCATACGCAGCGTAAGCTGCGGCGAGGCTAGCCACAGTCAGTCCAGGCTGCGGACGCAGACTGTAGGATACCGCGTCAGGATACACCTGACAATCCGTGTACACGGCAATACGATTGGCTCTCACACGTGTACCAATCGCCGTGACCACCCCCACATTCTGAGGTTCCACAACAGAAGACCCAGCAGCCTTACCTCTCAGGATTGTCTTCGTAAGCAGAAGCAATACAGAGCCACGGGCATAGATTTTTGTCTCATTCCTGTAGTACTAAACCCTGAACCCTGAACCCT